TGCGCCTCCAAAGTTATTAGCGCTAGTGATAGACAGGCTCAGCCTTAGAAAAGCGTAGATGGCCAGAGTATCTACAGACGCCTCACAGCCACCACCCCGCTACCACCACAAATACAGTAACGCTCTGAATGAGAAGTAATCAAAGAAAAACTAACGTCCAACTATGTTCACCTGACTTGGGTTTGAAGAAGAACACTGTCATCGATAAGGCGCCCAACAAACGCTACCTCTCCGCCCTAAAGAAAGAAAAGGGAAGTCAATTTCAAAAAATGCACCTAGTTATCGTATTTCACTAGTATGAAGCAGAAAAACTGAGCAGAGAAAAATGAAGACTCGAATAAGATTATTTTCCGGATATCAGGCATGAACGTTAGGCAAGATTCGAAAGTTAAACAGGCTTTTTTTTATGAGCACTGTAACAAGGATTCGAAGGCAAGCTTCTAGAGTAAATACGACGCAAACTTGAAGACACAATCCGCTTTTGCGACTCGAAACGGCCTGATAAGCTCCCAAAGATTAGGGTCATATTTAGAGCATTTTGTCTAGTTTGATTCGCAGTTTTCATAATTGTTGTCTATTTGATTTGCTTTTTCACAATAAATTACCGCCTCCAAAGCTATGAACCACCCCATCTATGTTTCTGAGCGCAACTACCCACGAGGGGCAAACTACATTTCAGTGGCCACAGACACATTTCGCGATAACCGTGTGGGCGGAGACCTAGCGTATACTACGCCGGCTCAACTGTTTCAAAAGTCAACTTTACAGGACCTCGAATGAATTTCACCACTTACCTCCACTTCAAGCTCTCCTCGACGTGCCACTGTTGCCGACCGGGGAGGAGCACGTTCAGCCTCGGACGAATCGACTGCGCATTCGTTCAACATGGTTCCAGAAGCTGTATCAACGGAAAACCTCTAAAAATAGCAAGAAGAGAAATAAATACAAAGTGACGAGATCAATGAAAATGTACCTTGTCAGTTTCACACGACTCAAAGAATGGTGGGTTACACATACAGAATGAAAACTGTAGATCACTGAATTGCCGAGTCAAATCCTAGAATAAGTGACCAGAAATTAAAGGAAAAAATTCCTCTGAGAAGCATCTTAGCACTTTATATCCATCGGCTTTCCGAACATTTTGGGGGAATTGGTGTTCAGAGTTTGATCGAAAAGTACAGTACAAGATCGGCGATCGCCGCTCAAAACGCCATTCTTCAGAAAAGTCGAGTCGCAAAGTATGGACGCAGCCTGAGGGAGAATTCTTGAAGGCAGTGCCCGCGTTCAGTTGAGACTTTTCCTCTCCCTTCGTGAGCAGGTAGTCAGGTCCGCAGAGGCAACGATTACACCACTTTCGCGGCGCAAAAACGAGTGAGGAGGCCCACGATACCGTCCTCTCATTGGCCCAACCCCCTATCATTGGCACCGCCCACCGTTCATTTCTAATGGTTGCCTGATGGTGCGGTTCTGCTACTAACTCTCTCCACTTCGAATGGTGAGAGTGAGGTGATAAGGGAAAACAGCTGATACCAACAAGTAAGAACTCGTGCGACCACTGCCCTTTTCGCCTTATGCACGTACAACCTCAGTTCGGATGGGGTTCTAATAGGGCCTTTCCTATGATTTCTTTTTGATTTTTCTTCACTAATGGGTTACTTGCTACCTTGTTATAACTATCTGAGCCGCATAACTCATCAAATTTGAATGCGGGCTCAGCCTTTAAGCATAGACTAATTTTGTACTACATTCAAGTTTTTTTTAATTTTTCTTGAAAACGGAGGGAAAATGCCAAAGTTCAAAAGCAATTACCGAGGCTGACAGAGACTAAGCTAAAAATATGAAGGAGAAGTTACCTGGACAGTAAGAAAAACCGAAGATTTCCCTACACAAGGAACTTACCTTGATTAGCGTTGGAGAGTGTTCACTAACATGTACAACCCGTACGAGATGACTGAGCTGATTACGAACGACATTGTCATTGGCTGCATGAGCGGCTTCATCGTTCGCTTCTGTGGCTATAAATTTCCATCCAGCCCAACGTGCACCCAATAAAGCATAAACACAAGACGCTCCAGTACCTGGAAATGGCATCTGTAAGAGTGCGTTCATACTTTCAACGTTTTGAGAGTCTCGGAAAATATAGATATTTATCTAGCGTCTTGAGCGTATGCCAGCGTCTTGAGTGTTCAGCGGGCAGTCGCTGAGAACGCTGTCGCATGCTCAAAACGCTAGATCGATATCTACACTTTCCTAGTCGCTCAAAACGCGCACGCAAAATATGAAGCAGTCTTAGGCTCTATAGTGTAGGTGGCACCTGTAAGACTGTGTGCATACATTTTCCAGTTGAGAAAAACAGGTCGTCGAGCCTGAGAAGTCGCTGTGCGGGTGAGGTGATCAGTTTTTTGACATTGATGCGCCCAAACTTTGGACGCGCGTAAGTCGCAATTTGGGAAAACGAACCAGAAGAATGTTCGACAAGGAATAGCAAGAATAGATGGAAACTGACTCCACCCCCAGCGTGCTGTTGCTACTACTAGTGGTATTTCTCACATTCGCAAAGTATGGCATCAAGGTTTTCAAGATGTAATTACTCGTTAGGGCTGGTCCATACTTTTGGTCGTCCTTTGATCGTGTTTAGTGTTTTGCGGGAAAAGGAAAGTATAGGTATCCATCAACGTTTTGAGAGAAACGCTACGTTAAAGGAAAAGCACATGTTCGTGTTCCTCGCAAAACGATGGATCGATACTTGTATTAGGTTGATGCATATGTTTTTCCCCGACTTTTTTGTAAATATCTCAATAGCGAACCAGCCTGAAGATTAGAGGTATGCACCATCACCATCCACTACTCGACGCCAACGCTCAGGCAGCTTGTCGATTCCATCGTCCCAGAAGGACGGGGCTGGGACCCGAAGAAGGCCACAATGCCGCACAATCACCACTGTGAC